AGCCACCATGTCTGGCCATTTGATGTCTCCTTTAACTAGGACATCAGCTCCTAGGGGGCAGGGACTGATCTGTCTACCACTGTCCCCGTACCCGGGCAACACCTGGCACGTAGCACGATTTTAGTGAGCAGCTACTGAGCGTAAGGGGTAATGTACTAATAGTTGAGCTGTCTCTGGGCCCTGCCGGGGGATGAGATTAAAAATCAGCTTAAAAATCAGCTTAGTTGACTGGGCGGGATGGCTCACGCCTGTAATCCCACTACTTTGGGAGGCCAAGGCTGGCAGATCACCTGAGGTCACGAGGTCCAAGACCAGCCTGACCAACATGGAGAAACCCCATCTCTACTAAAAATATAAAATTAGCTGGGCATGGTAGCGCATGTCTGTAATCCCAGCTACTTGGGAGGCTGAGGTGGAAGAATTACTTAAGCCTGGGAGGTGGAGGTTGCAGTGAGCCAAGATTGTGCTACTGCACTCCAGCCTGGGCAACAAGAGCAAAACTCCGTCTCAGAAAAAAAAAAAAAAAAAATCTGCTTAGTCTTACTAAGAACTCGCCACGCAGGTGCCCTCACCACCTGCCAGGCTCTCTGCCATCTGGTTTTCCTACTGAACCCTCCCTGACCAGGTGTTTTCCAGATGGGGAAACAGGCCCCACCTGCCTTGCTCAGGGGTGTGCACCCATTTCAAGGGAACAGCTGGCTAGCGGGAGAACCAGGACTCAAAGCCCACCCAATAGGCTCTATGCCGGCACTCACCTCGTCTATCTCACACTGGACCACAGACTCCACGGAGGGGTGCTTCACCACCTCACGCAGGACACCTCCATCTCCGCCCCCGATGATCAGCACCTGGGAGGAGGGGGCAGTAAAGGCAGGGGCCCTGGCAGAACTGGGCGCCCCCAGGACCCAGAAGCAGACCCCCTGGTCCCTCGGACCCACGGGCCTCATCATTTTCTACCCTCGGAAAATCTTCCGTGCTGGTGTCCCCTTTCCTGGAAGTTCCTTCCAGGGCTGCCCTAGGCTTCCGAGGCGGCGTCAGTGTCGGCCCCCACCTCTCTGCGGGACTCCCCGGCCTTGCTAGCACTTTCTCTGACAACCGTGCAGGCAGCATCTGGGAAGAGTCCGGGGCACACCTGGGGCCGCCCCTCGTCCGGCACTGTTCCAGGGGACACTGGGGTACCTTTCGCGGGTTGGCGTGGCTGCAGAGAGGCAGGTTGGCGATCATCTCCTGGTAGGAGAACTCGTCCCTCTCCGTGCACTGGATGACACCGTCCAACACCAGCACGTTGCCATAGGTCTTACTGCGGGCGGAGTGACAGTCAGGGGCCTGGGTTCTCTGGGGTGGGGAAAACATACCCCAAGCCGCCCTGGGTGAGGAGGGTCTCCCCACCCCGCCTAGGGGTCCCAGGGGTGGGGAGCGATGGTGACACGTGGCGAGGAACGGCAGGCGGGCCGCCGGGTGGAGGCTGGGGTGGGAACCGGGGTCTACTCGGGTTCTGACGTATCCCGAGGCTGACACGTGGAGCGGGGCGCAGACTCCGGCTCCCCCGCCCAAGAGGCCAGCCCGCAGCCCCAGCCCCAGCCCAGGGAGGCGGGGTGAGGGGT